GCCAATGATCGTGTATGTGTATATATTTCCTTTCTACAGATGTCAGATACCGAGGCGGGACGAGGCCAAGCGCAAAGCCTTGAAAGCCCCAGCCAGCCCCAGTCATGTGTATGTGCTATCTGTGTATAGTGTGGTTGTCCACGGTTTTAGATACCAAGGCCGGGCAAGGACAAGCACGAAGCCTTGAGAACCCTTGCCCACCCCCAGCCGTGTATGTGTATATTTCCTTTGTACAGATGTCAGATACTGAGGCGGGACAAGGCCAAGCACGCGAAGCCTTGAAAGCCCCAACCAGCCCCAGTCATGAGTATGTGCTATCTGTGTGTAGTGTGGACCCCCCACCAAGTCCCGGATGAATTCCGTATACATAGAGTTGTACCGTCGTGTGAATGACGGTCCTATCTATGCAAGAACCCCCCCCAAAGTCTCTAGCCAGACTCGAACCCATGCCCTTCATTATGTAACAGCAGTACCCTACCATATGTGCTACGTTGTGAATTGATGCCAATGTATGATATGCCAGAACAGGGAAGAATATCAGAACCAACAATGACCACGTCAAGCAGCCCACGCATAGTCAAGACCCAGCATACAACAACCTGGACTAGGTCCCCTTGGGTGGTCCGTGCGCAGGCAGTGTCTGTATAAATCTTACCGTGCGTCATCCCAAGCGTTGGGTGTGTGTGTCCAGCCGTGCGTCACTCTAACGCCCTCAGCTGCCGGTGTCCATGTGCGAGGCTGCAATTGAGTTTTGAACCCGCAACCTCATACCACAATACGCAGTTCCAACCGGTGCTCTAACCACTGGCTCCTTAGGGCGAGATCCCACTGGCAAAAAACATTGGATTAAGTGTCTGAATCTGGACGTGTTTGTGGAGAGGTGCAAGAAAGTGTAATTGATCTGCTTTTCTGCATCTCTACCTGAAACACGTCCTGATTCAGACACTTATTCCAATCCTCTTTGGCAGTGGGATCTGGCCCTTAGTTGCTGGTATGTGTGGAATAGTCAGAATGTGATTTCCCTGCATGGACTCCAACAAGCTCAGAATCTGATGCCCTTCAGCCCAGGCCAGGATCAAAGGGGAAAAAAACATGAACGATGGAGCAGGGGACGTGCCGTGCTGTGCCCAGTTAGACCACCAGTACTCCCGAGGCACTTTTCTCCGAGGCTGGAAATGCGCTGCGCGCCCCCCAAAAAAAGAACCGGCACAACTTTCGTTTGGCTCGCGCCGCCAGTACTGGTGGTTTAAGCTTTGCTACACAAACATATGTGGACCATAACCTGACTCCCATAGAGGTTGAGATTGCTGCGTCACCCTGTCCACTCGACTACTACGCGGAGTCGCCCAGATCCTGCAGTCCGTCGCAGAGATCCGGTGTGCAATCCGGCGAAGTTGCAGCCGACTTGTCAGGACTTTCCGACTTGCTGATCACCACGGTGACCTCATCTTTCCAGCAGAGTTGGAAGATGCATTGCGAGAGAGGAACAATTATGCGCTTGCGGAATTCGTAGTAGCGAAAGAGACAGGAAGAGAGTGATGACGAGGGATAGAAAAGGGAGGAAGGGGAG